ACAGAATATATATATTCTGTATATATAGCACAGAAAAATACTATAAATTTCTGTATAGTAATAGCTATACAGAAATTTAGAGCACAGAAAAAGCCCGTTGGGGTCACACAAAACATCCCTCTAATCCAGATTCTTTCACCTTTAATACTAAGAATAATTTTTTATCATCAGCAGATGCTGCCATCACCTCTCTTCACTTCTTTGAGAGCGCTCCTGAATCCATTATTCTCACTAATGGATTGTCCTGGGTTTTAGAGCAAACATTAAAAAATATAAGCTGATGTAAAAAAAGAAAAAGGATTTAAATAATCAGAACAACTTCATTTTTAGGAACTGACAATCAGATACAGCTATTTGCTACTGAAGCATAACATAATGAAAGAGCTGATTCAATTAAGTACATGCTTAAGAGACATTACCTAAAATTGGCCCGAAAAGAACAGAAAAAAAGAGAGAGAAGGAAAAAAAAAAAAGTAATTCCTTTCAAGTCACTGAAGGCCATAAACTTTATTAAAAAAAAAAAAAGAGTAAAAAAACCCCAAACAACCTCACAATCTACCTGCCAAACTAACTCACCTCTGGATGTTTGCGTCTCATATGTCGACTCATGGATGCTCTTGTAGAAACCTTCGTCCCACACAGCTGACAGCTCTGGGCCTCTACCTTATCATGAGTGAGCTGGATGTGCTTCTGCAGCATGTAATCAGTGACATACTTCTTATCACAGACTGAACATGTCCACTGTTTTCCTACTGGCGGCAGATGGAAGGAAACGCTGTTAGCAACAGGCCCCAAAGATGAGTATCGTATCGTTGGCGTCTCAACAAGAGGAACAATTTTATGTTGGTAACATGATGTTTAACACTAGTTCAAAGTCTAGGAACAAAATTAAGATATTGCCTTTGGATACTGTTTTAGAGAGGATTTACCTGTATGAATCAACTTATGAGTCTCCATTGTATTTCTTTCACTAAATGTCTTGCCACAGAGCTCACACATGAAGTCTTTGATTCCTGCATGAAGAGCACATTTAGCATCAGAGTGAAAACAGTCTAAGATATCTGGGACAATTCAGAGTCTTGTATTACTAAAAAGAAAAGTAAATAAATCACAGCCAAACAAGTAGAAGCAGCTCAGCTTCACCAGCTATTTTTATCTAAGCCCTGCCACTATATCTGGCAGAAAATGAATCCAAGAGAAATTGATGTAGGAGGTAAAATTTTGTTTTGGGAAATGACAACCTGAAGACTAACTTAAAACAAAGCCAACACTCTAGACCTACCCTAGACCAAAACAACCTCTCTTAAAGCAAAACATAAAACCAACTGAACTATGTATCTTTGTTGTGTAACAGGTGGTTTTGGCTGACAAGAGGACAAAATCTCACTTTTCAGAAAGCAGAATATACACATTTTTTATTAGTGTTCCTCATACTCTCTGACTGTTCTAGACAAGAGTTCTCCGAGGAAGCATTTAACAGATACAGTGCAACTTTTGTACATCTTTAGAGACCTCACCTGTGTGTCTTTTGTAATGCTTCAGCATGTTGACCTTCTGTGCAAATTTTCGGTGACATTCCTTGCATTCATATTCTTTAATCCCTTTGTGAAGTTTCATGTGGTGACGAAGTGCATGTTTTGTCTTCATTCCTGTGAGAGAAAAAACATAGCACGACAATTAGTCGATTGCTCCCACCTTCAGAGAACCCAGGATGATCATGTTGTTAGCCAAGAGCTCTTAAGATTTTATCTGCTGTGTGTCCACAGCTGCATAATTTTAACCAGGATGATCATGTTGTTAGCCAAGAGCTCTAAGATTTTATCTGCTGTGTGTGTGTCCACAACTGCATAATTTTAGTTGTTTAGGTAGCAGTGCACATTATCATTATTATTTTAATTCCATGCAAAAACTCTGTAAAATATCTGAGGAACCACTGAGGAAGAAGCAAAACAGCAGGGACACACAAAGATGAAACATCATTAGAGACATCAGACTTGCTGCCTTCCGCTAAAATACTAGTTCAGATTTGTTCAATTATAACACAAACAATTCAAAAAGTCAAAGAAACTTTGACTCTTAAGACTCTTAGAGAGAGAAATTGCTCTGTTTCTTAAGCCTGGAAACAGGCTAGAATGACAAAATTAACTTCTGTTCACCTTGGTGATGCGAATGCATTGGAACTCATGTCAGGTGAGCACTCCTCAATCTGGCAAAAGCACATTTTCTTAAAATCAGTTTTGTCTTAGAGACCATAAAACTAAACTGTATAAAATTAGGGGTAGCTTATATAACCATAAGGCTACTGATTAATACAGTTTCTGCTTCTCAAAAATGCAGGATTTGCTGCACTCCAAAGACCTTCCCAATATGCTAAGAATGGAAGTAGTTTTAATTCAGATATTCACCTGCTATTCAGTATGACAGTTAATGGAAAACAAGGCATTAGACATACCTTTGCCACATTCTGCACACAAGTATTCTCGGATATTATCATGGACTCGCATATGTTCTTTTAACATGTCTTTTCTAGCAAATGATTTGCCACATTGCTCACAAGCATGACTTTTTACACCTTAAAAATAAATTTAAAAGACAACATAAACAAAAAAATGTTAATGAAAAATGTGCACTTCCTAAAAACTGACTAAACTGGTGAATTAGAGGGCAACAGTCCACCTGTGTTGTCAATCACATCCTTCATGTATACTGTCGCCCAAACTAAATTAGAAGACTTCCAAGAGAGAGAAAAGCTGGCTTTTTGTGTGAGATTGGAAAATAGTGAATAGCATGAAATAATAATGAGCTGTTAAAAATGATTTTGCAATAGCAGTTTTCAGCCTGTGTAATGGTGAGAAGGTGGCATGAGTAAGAATTTGGGGAAGAACACAATACAGAATTAGGATTTTTAGCAGGTGAATCCTGCATCATATAAACTAGGAATCTGGATTGTGCACCTGGAGCAAATATCTTAATTAAAACTATCTGCTTTACAAAACTGGTCTACTCTAAAAGCATAAATATAACATTTATCTTAACAGTAAAAACTCATAACTTATTTCCTCCTGAAAAAAGGCAGCCAGTGGCGACAGAAATTTCTTTCTAATATTGATAATAATAAAGAAACACAATATTTTTACCTGTATGTATAAGCTTATGTCTTTCCAGATTTCCTATACTGTTAAAAATTCTTCCACAGATTTCACATGGATGGATATATCTGAAACCAAACAGACCAAAACCTGTCATTCTTTTCTTGAGATAGAGGTGGTTTTCAGGCATCTCTGTCAGTAACTGTATTTCATTTGGTAATATCAATCATCATTAAAAGTTCCTTGAAACATAAACGCATTTTTAAAACGAGCCTTAAGAAACCCTCAAGTTCACTGCAAGCTTGGAGCAGTCTGACATTGCTCAAATCATGGTTTTTAGAAAATATTTACCAAAATAATAGATTTATACTTTAGAAAGCCCAGAGACTGGGAGGCTGTTGACTGATCATCTGTGTGAAGTGAATCACTAGTGATATATATACTTCAAGCTTTTAATCAACATTTTAACACTCATTATACAGTTTCAGGTATTTTAGTACAGCCCAATGCTCTAAAAGCATCAGGTGCCAGAGCCATTGTAACTTCAAAAAAATAGCTCCTTTTATCAATCCAACACATCATCTTACTTCTGCACATTAGGATCAGGCAGGTTCTCCCGATGAATGACCATGTGTGCATGGTAAGTTGCCTTCAAGGCAAAACGCCGATTACAAATGCTACAGCCGTAGCCTTTCTCCTTGTGCACGTCCATGATGTGCTTTAGGTACTCCTTCCCTCTGCCGAAAGTCAGCTGTGGAATGAACCAATAGTGAATGAAAGGGGAAAAAAGTCTTTGGGAACACCAATGATCTAGCAACATATTATCAGGATCTAGAGTCAGAGCTAGCAGACATAAATATCCTGAGTATCACTAGACGAAAAATCTGTGAAAGCTAGATTTAAGCCTGAACCTCTTTGGCCATTACAAGCACGATGCTACAGGACATCAGTTAACTAATTTGGAGAACTAGCTTGAGATGGTATCTCTGCTCCTTATACTGCACAACTAGAAGACCTTCATTATTTGTGCTCTGAGGAACAGCTTTGAAGAGAACCATGTCTAACCTCCACTAGCTGTCAAAGCAAAGGTGTTAGAGATGGAGAAAAAGTCTTTTGGGCTCTAGGGGCATGGTAAGCTCGAGTCTGTGTGTCAAGCTTTGGCACTAGCTCCAGACAAGTTGGAATTTCTAGGCATTGCAGGGCAGTGATTCTAGCTCAGCTCTTGGAAGTGCCACAACTAGGACAGACAGGTGCTTCACTACTTAGCCCCTGGGCTAAGTAACCCTGCATACACGTATATGCTCCAAATCAGGGGGAAGTGCCATAATGACATGAGCTTTGGCTCCAATTTTGAAACTGGTCGGGGTATTTCTGACAGCACTGCATACCTTGGTGAAAGTGTACTTTGGGATGAGAAAAAAATAAAGAGAGAGATTCTTAAGAGCTCAGAAGAGATATTTCACTAAGACACATTTGTGTGTTGTTCTCCCTTAGGAATGTGTGAACAGATATTTTCAGCCAAAAAAAATTTCATCTCAGGTAACACTACTTTTCCACAGCTGTTGCCTTACACAACTGTTTACTTCACAAACACCTGCAAAAGCTCTAAAAAACTCAGCTTCCAAAAAGAGCTTTCTAATTTGAATGGCACAGCTGCCCTCATTTGGAAGCATACAATTTTATATAGTTTATGTACCTATTAAGTGTCAGGTGTTAAAATTACCACATTGAAAGCAAGCACGTGACTAACTGCTGTGGTACCACATCTTCTTATGCTTACTGACATAAGCTTAAAATCAGTTTGCACTTAAAACTAGTTCACACATGAGAACAGAAAACTGAAGAATTATTATCTCCATGTCTCTAAGATGAAGATACGCTAAGCACTTCCACCACATTAAGTGCAGACTGTGAAATAGGCTCTGATTTCCAGGGGCCAAGTCAGTGGCTTAATTACCAAAACTCCCCTGTTCCTCTGTCAGTTTGGCCGGTTTTGCTGTTCTCAGTGATTGCTTTTGCGTCCCACCTGCCCCCCCAGCACAGCATGCTTGCCCAGTAAGGGCACAGAATCCAGATGAGCCTTAAGGACCCCACTCTTCCCAATTACTTCCTTACAAAATGGCAAAAGCCATGCAGTAAGAGGTTTAAGAAGTCTTCCTCTCTCAGCTGACAACTGACTGAAGTATGTTCCAACAGTACTTCTAGTGCCATTCTGTTAGTAATAGAATAGGCAAAGAATAAGCAGTCACACTGAACATAAGCAGCAGTCTTAATCCTCCAAACTGGATATCCCCTGGAGAGGACCATCTGATCTTATAAAAATTATTCAGTTTGTGGACTGTATCATTCAGAAATGCTATAACGATTTTGGTTTGGACATAATTAAAAGCTAGCATAAGATTTGAATGTTCCTTTATTGTTTCTTCCTCCAGTTTTGCTTGCTTGATTCCCTGCACACTGGTAAGTGTATGTAGGTGTATTTATCTTTTTAAGTGTTGAGCATTCACCTTACACAACGCCACCTAAAATCTTATGGAATAGCATCGCTTCATAGATTAGAGGTAACAAGCACTGCAGAAGAGAGCAGACCTGTGGACTGTCCTCCTCTTTGTGAATGCTTAATGTTATTTAAAATTCTGAATTATTTATAGACATCTTAACTCGCTCCTCCCATCCCAAAACAAGTTAATTTGAAAGCATTTAAAGCTACCTGGCACCTTTTGCAGCTATACTTGTGAGGCTCAGAATCTGCACTTTCATCAGAGTTGTCATCATTTTCCTCTGAGGAGATTCCAATTTTACCAATGAACTCTTCCCTCTGGTGATCATCCATTAGTGCTATGTCCTGTGTAGGGTGGGAAACAATATTCTGTTTTAATAGATTAAACTTTCTTTCAAAAGGTAACACCTAGTCAGCTTTTGTTGCCATGCAGACTGCCTTGCATTAACAATTGCTGTAACATTATTTATTTAAAATATCCTGCTTCATCCAATTCAGGTAAACAAAGTTCCTCTGTCCATGACTAAACAAGGAACAACTGTTTATCCAAACACATAATATGGCAGTTTTGGGGTATAAAAGGAACTTTAATGTAAACAGAGACTCAGCTGGTACAGTATTAAATCCATATAAGCATCTTTACAAGCACCACTGAGTGATGTGATTCCTTTCAATTCAATTCCTTACAATTCAGTGATAACCTAGTTACGTCAAAATAACCTGTGTCTAATTAAGCACTATTAATGGCGGGGGGTGGGGTTGTGATCTCAGCACACAGGCAAACATCTCTCAACACACAGGCAGTTATGCTGGCATATACAAGAGAATCACAATCACTGGCATGGAAAGGGCAGGAACAATTAAGTTTTCTTGATTGGTTGTCTTCAGGCAAAGAGAGGGTACAACAGAAACCCCTCGGCCCAACCAAAGTACCGCTGGAGCAATACATTTGTCTGCAGCCTTCCTGTTAAGTTATTCTCCCTGCTTTAAACTGAGCAGCCTCTGTGATTTATTCACCCAAGGTCACAGAGGTGGTATTTCCATAATATTCAGAAGAGTGGTAGCTGAAATAACTTCAAATGTGATAGTCCACATACTCTGTAGCAATCCAGCTGTGGAAACGGGGCCATGCACAAATCAGAGTATAACCCATGTTAGGCTGCTCTAGAAACATCACTGCACAGGGTATATAATCACTGTTGTGCTACCAGTACGAACATGTGGTCATAACAGTCTCAGTATATTTGTCATTATGTTTATTAATGTCTGCTAAGTAATGTGCATTTTCTCATAAATTATTAACACGATACCTTAAAATGGACATGAATATGATCTCTCAATACATCCACCCTGAAAAATTTACGTCCACAGATTTCACAGGTGTATTTCTTGTCTCCATGTGTTAAAAGGTGTTTGTTCATATTGCTCCTACATGAAAATACCTAAAAGAAAAGAAGGAAGAAGGGGTTTTGTATCAGCAAAACCCCAACCAGCAGGGCTACAATTCTTTGCAAGTTATCCAGTGGATAGCACGGAACGCTCATTCTGGACAGAAACATGGAGGAGCTCATGTTATCCAGCCAGCAGGCTACCTCAGAAACTGCTGGCACAGCAAAATACACCGATACAGTTCCAGAGAACTGACTGAAACTGGCTGTTCATCAGAGGTGGACTTCCAAAAAAGCTGCAGCAGAATTACATAGGGTAGATTTAGAAATATTTATATAGGTCTTTTGAATCATGAATGTTGCATTGACCTCTAAAAAGACACATCCACAAAATCTACCTTCACTGATATGGAACATATCCAAAGCACCAAAAACAAAGGTCTACACAGCAACTGAAGAGCTGCTTGAGTACATCTTGCACCACAAATCATTAAACTGTCACAAAATCACTAGTTAAATCCACAATCTTCATATCTGTGATAACAGCAACTTCAGATCATGAGCATTAAACACCCAAACGCAACAGTGCCAAGACTACACCATGAATTCACTTTGATTTCTAATAGAAAATTATTCCCAATGCACACAGTCAACTCCAGCTGTTCACATTCTGGCAGAAAAAATTCACTCTAAGTAACGTAAGCCATGAGACTTCACAGACAGACACAGTGGCCATGTTACGCTCTAGACTGTGCCACGTGTCCTGAAAAAAAGTCTAGTCTGAACTTCAGTTTTGTTCTTTTCTTTGCCTTAACAGCTCCCACCATCCCTGGCCACAGTGGGCTTGGATCCATAACGGAGCTAAGGCAGTTACAAGAGGAACATCTTGTCCGGGTGACAGGTCTCGCTGGTAACTGACCACGAGCCTGAGTGGTGAGGTAATCTGACATGGGACATAGCTCAGTGCAAGCCATTTACCTCAACCTTTTGTCAGGCTGTGAGCCTATTCAAATAGGCTGCTATTGTGGTTTAATACATGGGTGGTAGCTCATGGAGCTACAATGCAGAACTTCACATGGCACACGCTGGCAAAGACGCCTACCTTCCCGCACACGGGGCATCCCGAAGGCTCCTTCTTATAGCGAACCATGTTTTCCGTGCTGTGCTCAAAGTCTTCTCTTTTCACACGTCTCACCCCTTAACGGAACAGTCCCCATCAAAAAAACAAAACAAAAGAAATAAACCCATGGTTTTCCACACCAATCTGCATGCCCTTTCAGGTGAATACTGTAAAGAAGAGTGAAACTCTGGGAAGAGCCGCAGTGCAGAATTTAATTGCTAACAAAAGGGTCATTCCCAAATTAAAGCGGTGTCTTAAGAATATAAAAGCAGTCTGCCAAAGTGATGTAATATGGCTTCTTGGTTATTACAACAATTGTAAAATGTCTGAAAACAGACATTTTTTGTCAACACCTGGAAACAGGTGGATGTAGTAGGCCTTGGCATTTCCATCAGAAATCACCCCTCACCGTCTCTAAGGAGAGAGGGAGTCATCCAACATCATCTTTGATGCTCAAAGAGGATTTCAGGCCTCTTTCTCTGCTACTCTGCGGGAGGGAAGAGGGCTGCTGCTGTTCTATGACAGCTAAACATGAGACATCTTGCCATTCCCATTCAACCCCTTGTCCTCTAGCTGTGCTCCAGTTCAGGACACAAAGGTCTAAATCACAAGAGTGGCCAGTGATGGTTGGTTATGCCCAAAGCGCCAAATCTGGCTGCTTCTTTAAAATCACCTTTGGTCTTATCTGCATTGCTAGAGGCCTGAGTTCCTATAATATCCTTAGATGTTTGAGATTTTGAACAGTGAACTCTTATAATCTCATCTTCATACATTCTCAAGGTTTTGAAATATAACATCACACAGCATTCCGTTTATATTATATTTATACAGTAGTCGCTTTCAGTTGTACATTGCAAGTTAATTCTCTTCCTTCAAATTTTCAAGTTACCACACTTTTTTTTTTAAAAACAGAAAGAATACAATTCAAAGAAAGAAAAAGAAACAATTAAATCAGCTAGTCTAAACTACTGTATAACAAGCCAAGCAACTTTCACATGACTGTTAGTAGCACTTGATCCAAGCACACAAGGCTCAAAAAAAAAGGTAGATGCATCTCCTAGAATGACTTTCATAGACTTAGACAACTCCCTTCCAGGATCCATTACTATTATTTTTAATAAATGTCACATTTTGCTGAAGCCTGCTACTCCAGATCAAGTAACTGACAAAAAAAATTACAGCTACCATCCAGAAAAGTCGAATGCGCAATCATTTCCTTAACCTTCCCACCTCTACTGCTGCTTCAGGAGTAATCATAAGGTTGATCTGCAGTGTACTCACCTTCCAAGTGTCGTCTTTGATGGTCTAGCATGACATCCTTCCGGTAGAACATCTTATTGCAAATTTCACATGCAAACTTCTTATCTCCATGCTTTTTCTTGTGTTTTGAAAGGTTACTGTTTGTAGAAAAGAATCTGAAACACATCTCACACTGGAATGTCTTGTCATCTGTAAGCAAGAGAAACCACGCAGCTCTTTACAGATGTTTTAACATTTAATACATCATTATATGGATTGAAGAGGGAAATGCAAAAGCATGTGTTTTTCTTTCACTTCAAAGATTTTTTCAAAGGCAATAAATATATATGATGCTAACTTGAACACGGAATCTAGCATTGTAGCTTCCTCACATGGGCCATTTCCATTGTGGTCTAGCATACATTAAAATTATGCTTGGAGTGGATTCTGTCACAGCTGCTGCAAATTTTTAACGTTGGTAAAATCACTACACATACAACAACACAGCATCACAGAAACATCTGTGTCTAAGCACCAGAATACTTCTGCCAACACTGGCTCCTAGTACCAGCCAGTACAGAATACTCCAGAATAAAGTATAAAATCTCAAAAATATACCATTACACGACAATAGGCCTGTGGGGAATTTGTTTTTTATTCCATAGTTGATTCTCTTCTCGGAACATTAAAGCACGGTCCTGTAGATGGAACCAGTGCTGCAGCAATCACAAAGTAACAGCTTGATGCCTTGAAGAGTAGAGGAAAAACTACTGCTCATTTTGGTCAACTCAGAGAGAAAAATAGCTGCTGCCCTTGAATAAACAGAATATTGAGGTTACTTGGCATTACTTTTCATTCTTCATAAGGCTGAATTTTTATACAAGCTGTACCCTCTGAAGGGAAATGAGTTATCAGTGAGGATATAAGACAGGTGAACAGGAGATACTAAAAAAAGCAATACCTAAGTGGATGTATTGCTCTACAGATTACTGGCTGCACTTTTCTTATCACAAAAATAAGGGTTTTTTTGAGGGAAACAGTGCAGGTTACTTGTTGTGATGATGGCAAAAATCAAAATTCCTACTGCCCTTCTGTAGTTTCTATGCTGAGATGGATTTGTGGACATTCTCCCAAAATGGGAGAGCGGGAACGGTTAGCCATTCTCACCTGTCCTGCAGTTATGGAATTCCAATGCACTCTCTATCCGAAAGGCTTTTTCACACGTAGTGCACTTGTATCTGTACTCACTGTCAACCTGAGGATTGCAAACAGTTACGTGTTTAAGTGGGGAAAAAAGCCAAGCCACGTCTAACAGAGAAATTCTAAATTTCAACTGCTTTTTCTGTTTTTCTGTCTTTTCCAATTTTTCTTCCTTCAACAGGACATTTAAATACCCATTGATGCAAAATTCTGATGCTCTATCATCCTGCCATGTTCCTACAGCTGAGGTCTATGCAAAAAAACTAAAAGTAGACTATGCACCTGTGTGCATGTAACAGTCTTCCTGATAAACCCTGGTCCAACGGAGAAATAGAATTTTTGAGAAGCAGGATGTAATCTGACTCATTCTCCAGCTCCAGAACAGATGCCAGTAATCTGAGAGCTTAAGACCTTGATGCCAAGTGGCAATGGAAATGTTCACTGATAAGGCACCACTACAGGCATAGAATCATAGAATCATAGAATGGTTTGGGTTGGAAGGGACCTTAAAGATCATCTAGTTCCAACCCCCCTGCCATCAGCAGGGACACCTTCCACTAGACCAGGTTGCTCAAAGCCTCATCCAGCCTGGCCTTGAACACTTCCAGGGAGGGGGCATCCACAACTTCCTTGGGCAACCTGTTCCAGTGTCTGACCACCCTCACAGTGAAAAACTTCTTCCTAATATCTAATCTAAACCTTCCCTCTTTCAGTTTAAACCCATTTCCCCTTGTCTTGTCATTAGTTGCCCTTATGAAAAGCATGTTTAATATTTATATGGCAGCAGCACTGAAAGGCCCTCACCAACTGGCATGGTGCTGCTGTTGTGAGCACTGCAGGTTTACACATGTGCACACAGACCTTAATGACACACAGCCTTTAACCAGAGCTCACACATTAAATGATGCTATAAGTGGGGATAAATGAAGCAGGACAAGCAAACATGACTGAACAATCCCATTTAGTACTATAAACTGAAGTCAAATCTCACCTCTAGATCATGCAGGTCCAGCTAACTCCAGCTTGTCTTGCTGTAACTGATGCCTGAAAACAACTTTCTATGGGAAATTCAGACACAAAAAAGGACTTGTATGCTCAAAAGCATGTCCACACTTTGCAAATTCATCAACTGTTCTAACAGAAGACGTTACCTCTTCTTATCAGTCTTGTCTCACTTACTCACAGGGATATCTGCTCAAAGAGAACTGACACAAGCTCCTCAGCTAGCACCTGGAAGCTCACTGTACTTTTTCACTGAACCTCAGAAAGAGCCTGCTAGTCATTTCCACTCACCTCGTTCCTGCTGTGCTTGTATGAAACATGCTGCTTCAAGCTCTCTTTACGGCTGAACAGCTTTGCACATTCCTCACATTTAAATAGTTTGTCACCTGAGGGGATCAATCAAGATAAAATAAAAAAAACATAAAGTAGTCAGTGACTGATAGTAATCAACTCCAGGCAAGACAGGGAAAATCAAAGCACAAGCAACTGCAAACAAACAGGAGAGTGATGAGAAGCTTTAGTAATTCAGGAGATCCAAATAGTGAATTTTAACCTTTTCCAACAATTTTTACAATTTTTTTTTGTTCCTTCATCGATTTTCAGTAATTATTTTTCATGGAATCCTTAGAAGTGGACCCCTGGAACTGCAGATCACAAGCTAAAAAGCACTCAGCTAACATTTACACAGCAATATTAACCCTGTGCCTGTGAAGGTGGATATAAATGTATATAATTAAAAGGAAGAACAGTTTTGGAAAAACCATCACATCCTCAGCCTCATTTAAAATATGTCCCTAAATTCAAATTTTAAGAACTCTAATTTCAACTTTCAACTATATCTTCTCATGCTTTGGTCTGCAAAACTAAAAGAGTTTCCTAGAGAGAGGGTTTTTTAGTTTTATTTTTAAAAAAAAAGAAAGAAAAAAGAAAAAAAGAGTTCTATTAAAATGATATATCCCAATATCTAAGACTATCCTAGCTCTCCTACTCAAAGATGGAACCACTGAGTGACAAAATCAATATGCAAATGAGGCAAAATGAAACCCACCGTGAGAACGGATGTGCCTGCTGAGGTTGCTGCTGTTCTGGAAGATCTTGCTGCAGATACTGCATTGATAGACTCGCTTGTGCTCCCCAAGCTGTTTCATCAGCTTCCGCCGTATACCGTGTCTACTGGAGAGAATTAAACTCCTTTTGAGGGACATGGTGTTTTGGTGATGAGCAAACCTACTGGATTAGAGAAAGAAAGGCAGGGACTGAAAGGTATCCCACAGGTTGCAAGAAAGAGTCTCATCAGCTGGCAAAAGCTAGAGGAGTGTTATGCTCAGCTTCTGGCAGGAGATGGGGGACCTGGAGCTTCCTCATTGCCAAGATGCCCTCCTGGCCACCCCCTGGAAGCAGCAGATGTCAGAGCGTGGCTCACTCCAAATTATCTTCACCCATCATAAATGAGGAAAAAAAGCAGCAGCCACCAGCCTCACAGATGCTCTTTGCAGGCCTCTCAGAGGAACATAAAGGATCTGTTCTTATCCTCTGAAAACATTAGCACCATGTCAGCCTAGAAAGCTTGGCAGTTCGCATGCAAGAGGCGTGTATGATAAGAGGCAGCAGGGTGCCAAGAAGCAGTTCTGTTCTATTTCTCAGCGCAGCCTCCCACTGGAATGCATTTTTGATGGCTCTGTGTCTGCTAAGGACTTCAATATATAGCTTTACTAGCTAATTTTGAAAAAATCAAGTGTTTTATTATACAAAAAATAATTCAAAAAGCCAATTTTACCAAGACAAAAAGACATAAAAGAATCTAAATTAATTAAATTATATTTATGAGTCTCCCTGAGGTTCTGTTATACTGAAGTTTTCCCCTCCCACTGCTCTAAATGTGAAGTATCACACGCACAAATCAACATGAAGTCATTCATGAGTTAAGATGACAAGCAAGACTGAATAATAATGGTTAGCAGAATTTTTTTAGCAAAAATTTCTTTGCCTGTTTTATCACCATTCAGCATTCAACAAGAGTAGTATTTCAGCTTGCAGCTGCAGGAGGCTTTTGAATAAAAGCAGTAACATGATGGAAAATGAAGTTGTCATGGTTTATGCTCCAAAATTCTACCACCAGTATCTCACCATCTGTGCGCCATCCCCCAGTGCACAAGCCACCTTCGTGGCACTCAAAGTGCCTTCTTGTAGCAGCAGCAGCAGCAGCAGCAGCAGCATCACACAATTTTATGCGAATAAAAAAAGAGCATCTTTGGGCCCAGGAGTTGAGCAGAGCCGTTACATGCTACATAATCTTAATTAAGCCTAAAAGGAAACTGTGCATCCCAGAGCACTTACTTCGTCACTGAACTGATGCTATTTGTGGTGCTAGGCATCTTTCCTAAAACCAATTCCATAATCCTCTCTTCTGCAGCTGAGGGCAGGGCTACCTCTTCTGGTGGGACTTCAGTTACAACGTCAGCTACACGTTCTGCTGCAAACACGTCGTAAAGATACAGCGTTAATGTGGATAGCTACAAATACAACCTCAAATGCAGGAATTTGCTTCTGTAATGAGATGTGGCACTGAGCATATTATTTGTCCACAACAAGTCATTAATTGCTAATGAGTAGGTAGCACTTGCAAGACAGAGAAAGTGGCTAGTGAATGACAAGTAAGATGTAGCCAACATCTCTTATAGAGGTGTAATTTCTTACCTTTCCAACCTATTACTAAGGGGTCAATTGACTATGCATCATGAAATTTCCTACTAGAACTTCCCTTAAAGGTAGGCTCTGGAAAAAAAACCCTCTCAAGAATAAACCTTAAGGTAGACAGAGGAAGGTGCCTCCTCTTGAGAGGGAGGATGCTTTCTTCCCTGTTCCTTCTTGCAGAAAGCTAGGCAGGTCTCTCATAACCACTATCCTGTGTTTCTCTGGGCCTCTCTATTACTAAAACCATCACAGGAGAATGCAGATAATCTAAGTGTAGGTGCTGCGACATTTAGCATAGAGAAGGACCTCAGAGATAATTAACAAGGTTTGTAAATCGTCTGCTTTAGTGATCTAACTAAAAACCTCTCTCTTGTCTCTGTGTTACTTTTAAAGCCTTCTGAGAAGGTATCAGTACAGACATACGAGAGGATATGTGCTTAGCATTTTCTTAAGCTTTGTTTCACCTGCAGAATCCTTCTCTTCAACAACAACAGGAGGTGTTTCTGCTTTTCCTGTTTTGGGCTTTCTTCCCCGCCTGGCCTTTCTCCTTGAGTCTGTACTGGCACTGGCTGCCTCACAGATCACTGGCTGATCCACAGGAGGAGCTTCTGCTGCTTTCTCTGCAACAGCCTCATTTTGGCTGGTTTGGGGGGCACCTTTAGCTTGTTCCAGGTGACTCAGCAAGTGCTCTGGATGGATGGGAAAGAACAAGAGAGTAAGGAGGAAGGAAACTGTCATTAGATACACAAAAAGATAGATCTAGCTGAAGCCTATCTATTGGGTCAACCTCACTTAGCAGACACTCAATTCAAACTATTTCAAAAGCAGTCACAATACCTTCCTAAATAAAAGCATACAGTCTATTAAACATTGAAATGATAACTCACAGGGGCTGAATTTTTTTAAGAGATTTGTTAGATATCACTGGAAAAAGGTTGCACCCCCGATAATGGGTCCATTTTTCCAAATGCTCAAGTCATTTAGCAGCCTAAGTGCCCTTTTCAAAAATGATTTATCAAATAGTCAGAGCTCTTAAATATCCTAAGTTCTTTTGAAAACTGCATAAAACAGCTGCAAAAGAAATGCAGAAACAAAAATATATTTCATTACCTTTACTAAATCTGTGCCATAAATACTACACAGACAATATCACTAAGTATAAGCTGGCCTCACTGACTTTATACACCTCTCATCCAGTTCCCCATCCTCCACATTCACATGTCATCTTCTAGACAACAGTTTTATTTCTTCTAGATTCAACATCACAGTTGTTTGTCCAGAGACTGACCACTGCCATATCCAAAATATCACTGTTTTACCTTCCCTGCTACCCTTTTTCTTAAAGGAACACAAAAAATTAAAGCCTTTATCTTACTGCATCATGGACAGGGTATGGCTTCACAGTGTCCTGCTCTGGAAGAGCAGAATTTTCCTGATGCTTCTCAGTACTCTCTCATTGATTTTTAGCACTTCTTACCTGTCAGCAGCTGAGGCTCCTGGAAAGCAGATGAACACACTTTACATGTCCACTGGCTGGAATCTGCTTCTGCAGCTCCACTGCCTTCTGGAGCATTCACTAAAGGACAAGGAGAAAAACTTTGAAAATGGGAACGTGGTAACTCCCTGTAGCTTTGTTTATCTTGCAATAACTCCCTAAGTATCACAAGTTATGATTTAAGCAGTAAGAGACCCACAGGGGCAGCTGGGACCACTTCAGGATTTTCCAAACCTGAACATCTGAAATGTCAGAACAGATGAGAAGTCAGAACAGAAACTAAACGATGCCAGGAGAGAATATCAGTGCTCTTGTAGAGAGTCCCTTTATCACTTTCTAAAGAACTGGGATTATCAAACGCACAATATAAAGCAATTTTTAGCACCTTTAAACTGTGGTCACCAGTCCTCTTCTGGGTCAGCTGAGGACAGAATCAGGAGAAGCCTCCTTGCTCTGTGAAGAGCATTGCAGAGTAAGAATATTTCAATTAACAGAAGTAAGCGTGAGGATAATGAAAACCTAGTTTTGAGCAGTTTCATTAATTAGGTGTTCTATGAAACCACCATTCTCATGTTTTATTTAACATATCAGCTCATGCTAGATAAAGAAAATAAAGCAGAAATTAGGGGAAAAATGGAACTGGAATGAAAAGAAAGAGGAAAAAGGTTACTCTGTTCACAGTCCATTATCTTTTAGTCCTTGTATGACACGTCTGAACTTGTCAAGAGAATCTGATAAATCTGGGCTGGTTCAGAGATTTCTTTTTGGTACACACAAAGCTGAATATTGCACAGTCTACAAGACTCCATCAGAGGAGGAGGATGACACTGAAATTAGTTTAAGTGAATGGCAGCACAGGAGATTCAAACTGTACCTCAGTTTCTGCCACAGATTTCCTGTACGATTGTTAGCAAGTCACTTAATCTGTCCCTGCCTGAGGACCCCGTCTGTAATGGGACAATAAGCTGACTTCCTCCTTTCACTGTTGGCTCTTAAACCAAAATAAAAGATAGTCTCTGAGGCACAGGTTGGTCCCTGCTACAAACTACATTCAACATTCTGCACTACAGAGGTGTGATCTCATCCATGCTGTAATAAATACCACCAGAAAAATCAATGATGCCAAACTGAAAGACAACTCCCCAGTCAACTTCATGTTTTAGCTGTGACAGTATCCAAGTTAAATGAATGGATCTTCTGATGAATTGCTCTGTACACATCTGCAACAACTCTCCTCCTCCTGGTTACTTTTAGCAGGCAAAATTTAGCAAAGTAACCTTTTAAAAGAACAGACACAGAACAGTTGTCTTTTGATCCTGATCTCCATACTAGGTACTCTGAGTTTACTTTTAGACATGGCAATTTGTGTTAAGTGGGTTCTTAATGTAATTTGTTCCACTTATCAGAGATTACAGGGTGAGGGAGCCATTGCTTCATAATCAACCTCGGAGACTGAATTCCTTATGGGGCCTACAAGAAAGCTGGGGAAGGACTTTTCCTAAGGACAGCTAATGACAAAACAAGGGGAAATGGGTTTAAACTGAAAGAGGGGAGGTTTAGATTAGATATTAGGAAGAAGTTTTTCACTGTGAGGGTGGTCAGACACTGGAACAGGTTGCCCAGAGAAGCTGTGGATGCCCCCTCCCTGGAAGTGTTCAAGGCCAGGCTGGATGAGGCTTTGAGCAACCTGGTCTAGTGGAAGGTGTCCCTGCTGATGGCAGGGGGATTGGAACTAGATGATCTTTAAGGTCCCTTCCAATCCAAACCATTCTATGATTCTATGATTATGACACCACCAGTTATTTCCTGAGCCCTATGTGCTTTGCCAAGAGCACCTGTATTGCTTATAAATTTATCTAAATTTGAGTTCCTGTAATCAATTGCAGTCTAAACTCTAATAGGCTTCTGGTATTATTGTAATTTGAGGATGGCCAATGCACTTGTCATTTCCAATGCACTCTTACATTTACTCAGTCTCACGTTTTCTTCTAGAACCTGATCATTTGAACTATTACTCTTTGCACAGAGCGTCTAAAGATTTTATTCAGAATTGTCCCCAGCCCAACATTAACCACCTCCAAAGTCAGAAGGAGTTGTGGTTTTCATGAAAATCATCTGCCTAAAGGTTTATTGGCCTCTCTGTCACTTTTTAACCTGCATATGTATTGTAAGAGTCATGCCCATTAAAATAATAAGAAAAATCCAAACTTTCAAATCCTCTCGAAATTGATATTTGCTGAAAGTTATATAACCACACTACCTGCATAGCAGTGGTACACCTAACAGCTCTTTAGCTCTATATCTGTCCTCCATCTCCCTTAAAAATACTGTAATTTTGCATACCTGCTGGATCAGCTGCTGGTATGCTGGATTTCTTTGGTTTTTTATGGGGCAAGACAGCAGACGAAGGTTTTGAAGATATTTTATTCCCCTCTTTATCAGATTCCATCACTACCAAGCATATATCTGTGAAGAGGAAAAACAGTTCCTTTTCTTTACTTTCCAGACCCTTTGATTCTCTTGCTCTGTGCTAAGGGCAGTAAACACAGTCAGAAAGTTTTGCCCTGTAGCAGGCCTGCAAAAAACAACCTCATGTAAAATCCTAACCAGGACATTCTTATGACTGAATCTCACCCAATGTGCCTTTCATATTCTGGAGTGCTGAGTGAAAGTGTTGAACAGAGCAAGCAGAACGTAACTAAACAATATTTTTAAGTACCCATATGCACACAAAAATACAAAACCAAGTTAAATTAGAGGGGAAAAAGATGAAACCTCTCAGTTAATACCAACTGGAAACATCTTAGAATTCAGAAACCTGTTCACTGCATTGATTCAGCTGCAGCATTTGAGACCGTGCTTACCATCAAAATCAGCCATAAAGCATGCTGATGGCAATGGACTCTCCCCAAATTATACTCAGTGTAGCAGTAATACCATTCAGGTGTTCATTCCCAACTCAAGAGTAGAAAGAAAATGCCCTTGCAATCCTAAAGGATCATGTCTTTTAGCAGTAGAAATGCAAAAGTAGAGGAAAATGAAGGGGAGGAACAAAAGACTTCTGGCAATAATTCTAATTCAGATTCTAAAATATCTGCTGCCTTGTTTTGCCAATGCACAAGCAATCACATGGAATGGCAGTGCACTCTTGAGCTTATCTTATTCTAGTGGGTCCCATGTAAAGCTGCATAAGACAGAAGTAGTTTTTTAGAACTGTATAACAGTTCTGAGCAAAACCAAATCATTTTCACAGACAACTGAAAAAGAATGGCTTCTTGAGCAAATCTGCATATATGTTTAGACTCACACTTGGGTTCCTTTGCTCTTCTACCCAGAAATGTTTTGGATGCAACCACCAATTCTTTAGTTAAGAACTACTTATCCAGTTTGTTCACTCTGAAGAGGCTGATCATCAACTAGGCCATTCGTTTTCAAAACTCAGGTATATCATGGTGAAGAATCTATGCTTTCTTCTTGTAAGGCAACAACATATGCAGGTTAGCCTGACTCTGCACACTCAGAGTCTATTTGACAAACAGCACTGTCAACTACAACAGTAGGGGACTATCAGTCCCTATCAGGACTGGGCCCTTAGGAAGGAAGAAAGGCCCCCACACATACCATTGGCAATACTAGTGACCTGCTTCAGCACTGGCTTTTCCATTTTTTTGGCGTAAAAAGCTGCATACCACACTCGCAGCTCAGTTCCTGGTGGGATGTCCCGGGAGGTGGTGAAGTAAATATCATTGTCATGCTGGAAGGCAGTTAAGTTTTGATGCTCATATTCGGTGGCTGGTCGCACCATCATCATCCAGTTGCAATCATCTTCGTTGGAGGTGTCAAAATATACCAGGGGCCCATCCTTCTGGAACACCTGTCAAGCAAAATATGGATATAACAAACCCTATCCAATAATACAAAGTTTGGAAGAATTTTTATTTCCTGCTTTTACAAGGGTTTCCATTCAATGTACATCAGAGATAAAGCGAACCTCAATGCTTGCATCAGGCATGTTTCATATATCAGTCACACCTTCAGATGAGTAAGTCTGAGACAGACTACTGGGGCAGGATAGGAACAAAGTGAACTTCTATCCTAAGAATTCTTGCTATAGCCACCAGTTCTTACAAAATTTGAATGACTGAATACAGGAGAATGGATGGGAATCCTAACAGCATGCTGTGAAACATCCAACAGCCCCAGGCACATTTCTAAATCTTTACTTCTGAATTAGGTATTGCTGAAAACTAAGACTGAATTCAATTTTTATCATAGCATTTTTCCTAACCAAACTTGTCAAGAGAAGAATAAAACAAATGCAAACAAAAAAAAAATATTTATTCTGCATGTTCCATAAACCAAATACAACCAATTTGAAGAGATTCATCAAAACACCAGAAGTGAACTGCCATAGTAATTGTCCCTCTTGCATAATCACATGAAGCAGGTAAAAGACAAGCAGTTTTGCTAACTGTATCCTGTCTCTATCTGCTATAAGAATGTTCACTTCAAACATGCACAACAAACCTCTAGTTTGGTTCTTCTGCATCTTGCCCAGAGAATGCTTGTTTAGCTAGTTCGTTACAGGGCATGCCTAAAAGATGTCCCAAATAACCCCCCTACACACATTTTTCTTCCATAGTGTTCAACAGCATAAAATCATCACGGGTAAAACTGATGCCTTGTTATTGCTTTTCATGTGCTGTGTCTTACCTTGAGGGGAAAAACGGATTCTTTTTCCAGCTTGGCAACTCTCTTGGATTCAAATGGGCCAAACTGGGTACGTTTCACTAGCTGAGTCAGAGCAAACACTCCTTCAGTCCCATCTTCCAATTGTCTTATCTCCAAATTAGAAGGCAGAGATGATCTAAAAATTGAAGAGAGAATTGAGAAAAAAACCCACAGTTACACACAGGACAACACTGCAGGAACCCATGGAAGAAAGAAGACAACATCTATTTCTCCAGTCTCCAGTGACAGCAAAGTTTTCTGACCGAAACACCCTAACTTCCATGATGATTTACAAATAAACAGAGAACAGCTACCAGCAGTGGAGGAGGGCCAAATCAGTGATCACTTGAGAAAGCTCAACCCATGTAAGTCCGGAGACCTGACAGGCTGCATCTGAGGGTGCTGACAAAGCAGACCAATACCATAGTGAGACTACTCTCTATCATCTCAGAAAGGTCATGGGCATCAGGAGAGGTGTCTGATGACTGAAAAAAGACAAATGTTGCGCCCATCTTCAAAAAAGACCAAAAGGATGATACAAGGAACTACAGGTTGGTCAGCCTCACTTCAGTCCCTGTGAAAATAATGGAACAAGACCTTTTGGAAGGCATTTATGGGCACGTCAGGAGAAGGTGACTGGAAACAGTCACCATGGATTGATTAAGGGCAACTCATACCTGACAAACCGTTTGCCTTCCAGGATAAAATGACCAGGTTTGTGGATGAGGGAAGAGCAGTGGATGCCATTTCCCTTGATTTCAGTAAGGCTTTCAACACTATCTCTGTATCCAAGCTGGGATGTTACGGTCTGGTTGGGTACACAACTATGAGACTAAATAACTTGTTGGGTGGTCAGACTTAGATGGTCATGATCAATGGTTCTTTACCTGGAGGCCACAACAACTGAGGTACCACAGAGGTCTGTGCTGGGACCTGTACTGTTTAACATCTTTACAGATGACCTACAAGGGGCAATGAAGTGCACTCTCATCCAGTCTGCAGATCACACTAACCGGGGGGCACAGTCCCTACACCTGAAAGCAGGATTGCAATCCAGAGGGACCTGGGTAGCCTGGAGAAATACACCAACAGGAACCACATGAAATTCCCAGGAAAAGCGCAAAGTCCTGCACCTGGGAATGAAGAAGAACCCCAGCCAGTACCATCACCAGGGACAAAGACTCTGGCGGTGGCAATGGACAGCAAGCTGGACATGAGGCCATAGCATGTCCCAGCAACAAAGGGGGCCAAACACATCCTAGATGGTATGAACAGGAGCAGTCAACAGACTGAGGTAAGTGGTTGTCCCCCTCCACTCTGCACTTGCTAGATCCTGCCTATCTATTGCCTCCTGTTTTGAGCTCCCTGCAAGGGAAGGACATTGACAAACTGAAGTGATCTCTAGGGAGGACCACTAGGATGGTCAAGGGCTAGAGTAGTCACCCTGTGAGGAGAGGCTGGGGAAGCAGAGCTTGATCAGCCCAGGGAAGAGATTGCTCTGGGGGCCCAAACAGCCACCTGTGCACACCTACAAGGATGTCACTGAGACAGAGGAGTCAGGTTCCTCCCAAGGGCTCATGGCAAGAGGAGAAGAGATAATAGGCATAAAAACAAAAAATTAGGAAAAATCCAGGTTCAGCCTGGATGTTAGTTCTGACTGGAACATCCTGAGACCTACTCTAAAATTAATTTTCCCAGGACTCTGCAGATGTTTAGTTATGCTTATTTTAAAAAATAACCTATATCCCTCCTCAAATTAACACCTTATATACTTATGTAGATCATAGCCCACAAGATGAAAGCCCTGGAAGCTTCCCTTCTGTCTTCTAGCTCCCGTATCACAAACACTGATACAGTGATCACAGGTGCTTCTCTGCTCTCAGCCTCTCTCATTTACCAAACAAGCTTCTGAGAACTGTATGTAGTAAGTATTGTTACTACACGGAATACATAGAGAACATTTTCCAAAACAATCATATGACTGGAACCACCATATTGGTTTTACAGACACCAAACACAACCCTGTTTTTTCAGGTCTTTGCTAATGGATGAAAAGCTAAAAACAATCAAACAGGCTACCAACTACTCTATAGACATTGACACTGGCAGATGCGCTTTCCTGTCTAGATGTAGAGAATACAAATATTGCAATCACAGTGATAAGCAAATGAGCTGAAAAAATGTTTTCAGTTTTCATAACAGAATATGCAATGTCAGAGACAGTGAAGTTCAGGAGATATCTCTTGACACTTCTTTTCTAACCATAAAGCACCCATTTTACCTTTTCAGTAGGACAGAGGAAACAATGACCATGTGGTTAAGCAACTAGACTGGTTTTTAAAGAGATTCACATCCAGTTTGTGGTTAAACTTGCCCTCAACCTCAGAAAACTCACTCTCTCAACTACTGTTCCCCAGATGTAAAATAAAGGCTGCAATTATATTTCTTCTTTCTCTTTCTTATCTTACCTGTTTTCAGCTGTAAACTCTTTAGGAAAATAAATACATTTTTCCATAACATGGCCATTTTTAAACTCTGCTTTCAATTCCACTATCCAGCATCCCACACTTCCACTAGGGAGCACGCACGCATCTGCACGTTAAGAAAGGCTGATAACCAGTGCAGGCACCATATTTGCAAATGTTCACAGTTGGAACATCTGGACACTATAGTAATTCTCCACTGCACAAATAAATAAGAGCACTAAATTGCAAGGCAAAAAAAAAGAAAAAAAGATAAAAAGTAAGAAATAATAGTTTAACTTGTCATTAAATCGGGCTAAAGACTTACTGCACTGCCCAGTTTCCATGTATAAGAAAAGCATCTTCATCACCAGTTATACTATTATTCCCAAGGGCATTTTGAAATTACCCTCAAGAACAAAGCACCTCTAGTGTCAGGGCTGTTAAGACAGTAGTCCCCACTAACACTTGTTGCAGGAGTTCATCCCCTGCAAGTTTCCAGACACAGGAATGCTGTGCCTGGCAGGAGCTCCAGGGAGCTTCCTTTCCTAAGAAGGCCCAGAAGAACAGCTACAGCTGGAGCACACGTGCAGCCAACGTACACTGGGGGACATCAAGAGCCTCCTGCCCAGGCAGAGAGGGGTCACAGCACCCACATGGCAGACCCAGCACACTCAGCGTTTGTTACAAAATGATCCTGGGAATACACAGCACGGCCTGCATAGCCAGCATGTGTCCGACCTGCTGCCCACGTGCTCATGTTTTCTGTCCGTGACTTCCCAAGAAGAAATATGGAAGCCCTCAGCACTTTATAGAATACATGAAGCCATTGGAACCTTCTTCCCTTTTTGGATTTGTATTGTCATCTTCACAATAGTTGTTTCTTCTCTTTAGCCTTAACTTTTACACCTTAACATGTATTTTGCTGACAATGCCCAATTGCCTTTCTCTGTAAAAATAACTACTTGCTGTTGTTTTCTCCTAATTATATGTGGTCTATTTGTTTATTTTGGCAAGCACAAATGTTTCTACTGTGCTGTCAGATTTTCTGACAGAAGCATTACCCCTAATAATTCATAAAGACTCACAATAATAACAACAACAACTTGTTTTGTTTCTCAGTGGAGAAGCTACTGAGGTTATACCAAGCAAGAGGATACAACCATTCATATGAATGAGAAATCCTCATACTTTTCTGAAACTAATAAAGTATATCTGAGGGGGGGGAAATGTTACAGGTACTCAACCAAGACAGAAGGCACCAGTGCATCTGGCACTAGATGACTTTTTGCCAGAAACCTCAGCAAAGAAGGCAAGTCCTGATGAGCAACAAGTTATTTTTTGGCTTCAATTCAGTAGAGCACTTAAGTGTGTGCATCAATTTTTCTATTTAATCAAGGCCATGTGCTTTCCATAGATTGGGACTTCACTTTTCAGCTGTCAGTGTGACATCCATTAAACAGTAAATATGCTTCAAAGAACTAACTTGGGTGTTGGGTTAGTCAGAACTAACACAAATGTTCCTTACCTTGCCCTGCTCAACACAAAGGAGTCTTTGACTGTCACCACTGGGCCCAGTTCAGGACACTCTGAATCATGGTACTGCCCACAGTCCTCGCACCCTGCAAGGAAGCAGACAGCATACAGAAAGGTTGATGGAAAACACTTGTGTAAGACAGATGTCTCCTTCTTTCAAGAGCCAAATACAAAATCTAGCACCAAGTAAAATACATATATATAAAGGCAGATGTTTATTTGTATTGCTTAAAAGAACCTGTATAATTGAATATCTAGTTGATAGCTGGTACCTGTGTAAATGAGATAACACACTGTGATCAGGACTATCAGAAGGCAATTGTTTAAATTCTCTCTCAAAGGAAAATAATTGCATAACACCCAGAGTAAATATTCTGCTTAAAGATGACATTGTTCTTCAGATAAATTGCCTTAACACCTAGTGGCTAAAAAAAGCCACATCCTCTACCTTCACCAGAACCCAGGCTTTTAGAAACAGCTTGGGTAGCGTGATCTTTTTGGCAACAGGAGGCAAAAGCCCAGAACCAGCAGCACAACTGGCATGGGCCTCAGCAGGGCACCAGCACGTGGTGGGAGCCCAGCTCTGCCCACAGCCTCACCTGGCCCACTCACGGTCCTCACCCACAGCACAGGGAGAGACACCTCTAAGATACCTTCGGGTGCCTTTCCAAACAAGTCAGCTGGGTGCACAATGCACTTTGGCCACTTCCTAATTCACTGTCAGCTTACCTAAATTAACATTTAGTTTAAGTGGCTGTTAAATTACCCAGAACTGAATGGTTCCTATGAAACAATTTTCAGGAACCATTTGAGGTTTTCTAAAATAAGCCAACTTAACAGGATTTCAAACGTACATATATTGCTTCACTGTGAAAAACAGCTGTTGAACTGCCCTGCCTGCTCAGCTGCTGATGCAGCTTAAGAAGAGATCATCACACAGGGGTTATATTCCTCTAGTGCGATTTCCAACTGAGCTCCATGCTCACAAGGGCAAGTCAGGTCACCCCAGTAAGGCTCCAAAGCAGAAGGTGGTTTCACCTTGTTTGGGATGAGAACAAGACAAAATCCATTTAATTCCAGGGTATGCCTCACCCCTAGTAAAGCTGCTCCTAACTGGAAAACTCTTCCTCCCAGTATTTGTCCCAATGAAGTAACAAAAGGATTTCTTCTAAGACATGGAAAAGGGATCCTGAACGAAAATGCACAGCTCCACGTTGTTTCTTCTTCTGGCAACAAAAACAACTTAGCAGTGAAAATCAACACAGATTTGACAAATGGCAGTACCAGCTCCTGCAACCTCCAAGCCTGGCTGCTGCTTCCTGCACAGCTGTTTGTGCTGCCTGCTGGTGAACCAAGGAACGAAACAACCAGCTTTCCCCATCAGTTTATTTTCCAGCTGAATGAATTTCCCAGTGCAGTTTGCTGTACAGCACCAGAGAGCTGTATCAGAGGAAAGGATCAGCAGGCAAGTGCTATCCACACAGCACCAGCATCAAAACTAAGGCTTACAACCAAACGGCCTCCCCTGTCCTGGGCTGTTCACCACACCAGCACCCCCCTTAGCTGTGCCTGTAGCTCACACTGCACTTGATATTGCTGAAATAATCTGGGCTAAATAAAACTTTCCAAAACCAGAGAGCATGGAGGAGCCACAGAGGAATGTGTAAACCAGACTGCTGAAAAGAACTGGACTATCATCTACAAAGGGTTGTCATGACCAGTGGGGACAGGAAGGAATAGCTGGAGTGACAGCTTCTTCAACCGGCTTTGCTGCCAAAGGCAACGGAAGCACTTAGTCATTCCCCTTATCTTCTAACTGCACCGAGGCACCCCTGGTTGTGCAAAGATTCACCACCTGAACCTTCTGCCACTACACAGGTTCAACAAGGTGCAGACAGCACTGTCCAAAATGCCACGCAGGAATAAGCTGTGGATTTCTCTCATTCCTCTGCGGATGAATGATCAAAGCAGGGGCAATATGATACTGAGATTGTGTAGCACGTCTCTCAAAATCTAAGGGATGCCTCAGAGCAGATGTTCCCCAAGGCTGTTACACTCACCATATGTGACACTTTCAAGAGATTATAGCCACAGGAGAAATACACAACTAAGCATGGGGATAAATGGTAAAATAATAATAATATTCACAGATTTCAATAAAAAATATTCCAAAACTCTTTTGTGTTTATGAAATACATATTTAATGATGTTAACTACGGGAGTGCACAACACCATTTATAGCAACTTGTTTTTTCAGAACATAAGCAGTCTCATATCCCATGGGCAAAACTTATAGACAGAATAAGAAAGTTCAAGAAATTCAATGACCATGGTCTCCACTGGAAGGGAAAAAATCATGTTGTGTGACACCTTCTATCTGTGCAATTAGGGAATGGTATCACATCCCCGTCCTTGTTGCTTCCACTGGGGTCTTTTTAAAAAGGGAAAGATAAAGCAACTTCACCACTGGTATCTGCAACTCAATAAAAATGCCTATTGAGTCAACACTGTTTTTGAAGGAAACCTGGTGAATCTGTGGTGGAGAGAAAAGTGCAACCTTCTTTCCAATATAATTGCCATGAGGTTAATGTGCAACTGTGGAGCCATCTGTGGTAGATGACTATGGATCCACACCACCAAAGACAAGTGCTCCATTCTGCCCTTCCCAGATCAGATCCACAGTACCTGGGCACTCTCTGCTCATACAAGCAGGTAAGCAGACTCTACATCTCAGCTTTTGTCCCACTGTAACACTAGATCCTGCGTGTCCAGGCTGGTGACAAAGGAAAGGCTGTAGGGCCAGTATGCCACTGGGAAACAAATCTACTAGCCAAGCTTCATTAAGCATGGGACGCTGCCCACCACAGTCCCTGGGCATACCGCTGCTGCAGCCTTTCTTCACACACCACGACCCCACGAATTTAGATTCCAGGTTGTGGGAGTCAGTCTGGCACACAGCGTTATGCAGAAAGCAGATCACAAAGCTGAGCTGCGTGAAACGCAGTCATAACCGCAGGGGCACAAGAAAACGCAGTTAATCATAGAACTATAGAATGGCTTGGGTTGGAAGGGACCTTAAAGACCATCTAGTTCCAAACCCCTGCCATCAGCAGGGACACCTTCCACTAGACCAGGTTGCTCAAAGCCTCATCCAACTTGGCCTTGAACACTTCCAGGGAGGGGGCATCCACAGCTTCCTTGGGCAACCTGTGCCAGTGTCTGACCACCCTCACAGTGAGGAACTTTTTCCTAATATCTAATCTAAACCTCCCCTCTTTCAGCTTAAAGCCATTTCCCCTTGTTTTGTCATTGACTGCCCTTATGAAAAGTCCCTCCCCAGCTTTCCTGTAGCCCCTTCAGGTACTGGAAGGCCGCTATAAGATCTCCCCAGAGCCTTCTCTTCTCCAGGCTGAACAGCCCCAACTCTCTCTGCCTGTCCTCATAGGAGAGGTGCTCCAGCCCTCGGATCATCCTCGTGGCCTCCCCTGGACTTGTTCCAGCTGCTCCATGTCTCTCTTGTGCTGGGGGCTCCAGAACTGGACACAGTACTCCAGGTGGGGCCTTACGAGAGCGAAGTAGAGGAGCAGAATCACCTCCCTCGACCTGCTGGACACACTTCTCTTGATGCAGCCCAGGATACAGTTGGTCTTCTAGTTAATGCCATGAGACTTGTCAGGGCACTTGGTGCATCTCAAACTGGGCTTTGTCCAGAAAGAACAAGAAGCCTACATCCTCCTCCTGTGGAGGTACAGATCTTCAACACAGGCTAGAGGTCAGAATTCCTCACAGATACCCCTGGTTGCTAAGCTGGCTATATAAACTTGGTTTATATAGGCTTAGACTACTGTTAGGCCTCTAATCTCACTCACTTCAGCCATGAAGAAGCTGTTCTGCTAACTCATTCAGAGGCGTCTTTGTGTGTTCGCCAACAAAACTAGGAGAATGTATATGGTTAAAATGAGCAAGCTTTTCTCTCGTCCTCCATAAGCTGTTTGAGCTTCCTTTACATAAATACTTTTCTAAATAAAAACATAGTCTGTTTTAGTATTTAACTTCAAACATTCTGGGTAGACAAGTCACACAATGAGAAGTAGATAATTTTCTTTCCAATACTTACAAATAAATATAGTCTCATCACTGCCATCTTCAGTCATTTTTTAAACCTGGCAAAATACAAAAGGTGAAGTTAGTTCTGAATGACTTTTACTTTCCATATTATTGAAACATCCCTTTATGGAGTAAGGATGCTGACTGACCCAGAGCACACCCAAACTCATTACTGTCCCTGCAGGAGCATCAGTAGAAAGTTAAAGGAATTAAAGTTGCTAAAAATCCCCCAGGGACTGCCTCTACCATTACATGTGTTGCTGAAATCACTACCAAGAAGCCTAAATGTCTGTAGATTCACAGGCATTTCTGTCTGAGGCAATGCTGTCTCACGAGGGTCTCCATCCCTCCTCTCGCCAACCTCCAGCCATTCCTCTGTGACCCCCCACCCCTTGCTACAAGCTCTGAGGAGCCTCAGAACAAGAGGGGCCAGAGGACTACTCCAGGCCAGCAGCCACCACTGCAGAAACAAGGCCCACCTGGTTCAGTGCAACATTTTATTGAACAGTAGCTTAAAAAATTATGGCTGAAAGGTGGATTTCTCATTTAATAAACACAATAATCTTCAGAACCTAAAAACTGCAGATACGATTACAGATTTATTCCAAAGGCAGAGGTATATACTGTGGTAACAAGCACCAGAAAACCTGGGAAAAGCAAATCCTGCTTCCATTACTGATCTTCCATGAAATGGTAACTCACCAATCTGCTTTCACCCATAAATTAAGGATAATCTATATTCACTTTTATAAATCGTTTTGGCCAGTATGTATTAAAAACTTGCATAAACACTATTTATTGCTCCTCAATGATGTCTAGACAATCCATGTTATGTTTGCAAGTTGTCTGTGACTAGGTATGGCTAAGATCACGACACAGGCAGGATCCAGAAAATAGTTTTCCCTTCTCTAATCATGCAAAGGCTCTTCTCCTTTCAATTTTTCCAATGCCTCAGTGAGAGGAAAAGCAACACAAAGATCATGACCCAAGTCTAAGAGAGAAGGAGGCTGCAGAAACAGCAAGCACATCGGTCAAGATGAAAACAGGAAGGAGTAAGAGACTGAACCTGTGAGAGGGAGGACAGGAGGAGAGGAAACACGGACAAAGACACACTAAGCTAGCAGAGCCCTGTTCAAAAAAAGATAAAGCATTTGCTACTACAGCAACAAAAGCCAAGTCAGAGACACGTACAAGCACATCCGCTACTCAGGATCAGAACAGGAGCAGGAGTCCTCATTGTGAGTTTACTCTTGAATACTGAGGCTTCACAGGCTCTGCCTGGCTGGGCCATGGAAATACGCCTCAGGCTGGAGCCCAGAGCAGCAGCTACTTCTGGGCAGGCACCAACTCTACTGACTTCTCAACACAAGTGAAGTCCCTGTCTCACACAACCCCTTGGCTGTTTCAGGAAGGACTCCAAACTTGCACCAAGCCTGCTGCTAACGCCACAACGGCACCTGGGCGTGCCAGAGAGCAACGTCTGATACGCAGCTGCCAGCTGCACCCCTGCTCTGCTCCACCTCAAGCCTCCACCAGAAGCAGCAAGCAGGTTCCTTCACCAATCCATAGGCTACTCCCAGTTAGCAAAGGACAGTCCACTGTCACACAGAAATGCACTGGGTGGAAAGCCAGCATGTCAACTGATGGGAATACAAAGGGACACCTGGTTGCTGGGGCTCTTAGTCATGGCAGGAAGGATCCTGCTGCTCCATTATCTCCTCAGTCTAAGGAAGATTTTGGTCACTGAGTCTGGGCACCCTGGCATTCTCCTCCACAGCCTGTCCCAAGCACTGTCCCCCCAACTCCACCAAATGTCGGCAGCACGATCCCTCCTAACACCTGCTTCCAGCTGTGGCACAAGCCAGGCCTGCCTTGGCTACAGCTCTGGGGAAGAACAAGCCACAGAAAGCGATCCAAGTTGATGTCAAAAATGGCTTCTTTTGCTTTTTAACCAAGATGTTTTGTGGATGTTCTGCACTATTTCAAGAGGTGGATGTCAAGTTATTTTTAGACAGTTTGTGTCCTGACAAGCCTTTAATCCTAAATATGGCTGAGTTAACAAATACTCTTTTTGGTCAACGGTTCAGATACACAGGGGACACAGTGCAGCAAGACCAGCAATACTGCTCTGTGACCTGCATTTGCCTTCTAGGACTTTCCTGAGTCGCACTCTTCACAAACAGCAGGCTGATGGCAAGCGGCATTACAGAAGCAGCAGTGTCAGTTTTGTTCTAGGGGCTGTCAGATGAGAACAGTAACAAAGGGGTGGAGAAATCGTAGTAGTGTAAATGTCGTTCAAGGTGATGAGAAACTGGAAAAACTGCTTTTTGTGGCAAGTAATTTTATTTTCCACGTTGCAAAATTTCTGATTCATCATCCATCTTTCCTACGCCCAGCACAAAGACCTGCTATGCTCTGAAATGAACAGGAACGGGTCACGTATCATGTATCAAATAAACTCACACCTCAACACGCAGGTGCCAACAAGAGGACTACCTTGCATTAGTATTTGCAACTTGCTACAAATTCCTGTGCAGTCTTTTTTCTCTCTCCTTACTTCACAGAAAGTGTAGGAAAGGAAGAACAGCTCCAAAGTTTAACAATTTTGGGTTTAACAATTCTGCTTTGCAAACGCATACCACTTCTCACATACAGACTTTTAAACTCCTCAAAATTCTCAACTGTATTTCCCAAGCATTTTTTGAAATGAATGACATTATGCCACCTACTGCAGCTGGTAAACTGAGTCAAAAAGTGCCACGCTACCTCACATGATGGCACTGAAGATAGACTTCAGAGTTTTTTACCCTCATCTGCTGTTTCTCTAGGCCATGTCTGATTTTTTTTTCTTTTCAAGCACTTGTATCAGAAAAATATTCCATTAAGTCACTCATCCTACCACACATAATAATCTTCTTCTCTTGCAGAGATAATCAAAGCTTCTGGGAATTCCAGATATTTTTATATAAAACGGAGAGCAATTATTAAGCAGTGAGTAATCAGGTGAAAAGCTACACAGAAGAAATCAGACCATAGACTACAGGTACAAAGCCTAATTCTAACTGCAGTAAAAGAGGATGAAGCCAGAATTTTCTGCTTGTATAATTGAGTGATTTTGTACCCAAGAGCAGAGCATGCAGCTAAGCACACAAACTCCAGCTGCAGCACAGGTCTCTGAGCACTCTGAAACTCAAGAGAACCTAAATGAAGACACTGAGGGGCTGCAAAGTCACAGGCACCTGCTTGCAGAATGTGACGTGTAGTGTTGGTGTCAGGGAACCCCTCGAGCTATAAGCTATCCAAAAACACAAGACCTTGTGTAAAACCATACTTTGCCCTAGTTAACCGCTGAAGAAAGAAATCAGGCTCCAGTAGTAACTGAGTAATTTTGATCTCACAAATGGATTTAAAAACTAGGTAAGAATTTAAAAATAATAAACCAAATCAATCTGTATTTTAATTTCATGACTAACAAAGTAAAATTAAAGTTTCCCTTTATCCAGTTTTCCATCAAAATTCTAACAATGGGTTTCTACAAGTGTGAATAAGTGACTTGAACACACAAGGGGATGGTTCCTATAAACACACGTGTGCAAGCAGCACGCACTGAGAAGCGCCCTTTGTCTGTTTTCTTCATGACCTAAGTCTAGTTTGCTCACACCACTGCTCAGAGTAACGGGAAACTATGGGGCAGAACGTCTGGTAACCTACAGCCAGGCCCCGGGTTTGTTTCTAAGTCATTAGGACCACCCTACCAGTTGCTGTTGGGAAGGGGAACAATTTCAGCACCAGCTAGAGGGGCCACAGACCAATAAAGCGGGTGCTGAGTTTATGCCACCCGCCCTCTACAACAGTTCCTGTGACCATGCTCACCCCGCCGAGGGGGAACGAAGCCTGGGCGAGGTTTGTTTAATGAACGTGAGCAGAAAACGAACATATTGTA